TAATCACAAATAAATAGCTAGTATATATAATAAATTATATAATGAATAAAGTAATATTAACAAAAATTTAGTTGCATATTATTATAAAAATTATTCTATTATGCAATTTGTATTATTAAAAAAATTTAATAATAAAGTAGCAAGAAAAATTATTATTGTTAAAAATTTTTTATTTCATTTATAAGTAAGTATATTAATTATAATATTTATTTTAAAATATTAAAATATTAATTATTTATTATAAATTTATATGGATTTAATTGATTTTAAAAGATTTTTTAATGAGAATTTTACATATTAAAGATTATTTTACTTAATTTACTTAGGTTTATTCTTTTTATTTTAAAAAAACTAATATAATAGTATTAAAATTATTTAAATTGCTTATTTAAATTAGATCACTAATAATTTTTATTCTGATAATGAAAAAGAATTTAAATTATAAAAGATTTATTAAATTTATAAAATAATTTAAAAATTATTAATAGAAGATCTAAACATTAACAATCTTAAGGATTAGTTGAAAGAGATAATTATGAAATTAGCAAATTACTTAAAAAATAGATAAAAGTATATTATAATATAAAATAAGTTTTAATTTGAGATTAGCTTTATAAGTAATGAATATTACAATTTGTTATACTATTAGTCAACCTCTTTATTAATTAATTTTTGAAAATAAATTTAAAAGTAATTTGAAATCTTTATATACTTTATAATAGATTAATTTAATTTTTATTTTTGAAAAATATATTTCTAAAAAATATATCTATTAAATAAAATAATAAAATCAAAGTATGTATTATTTTAATAAAATTTATTTTTTGATTATTAATCATATTATAAAATTAAATATAAAAAAAATAATTAAAATTTATAGAATATTGATGATAATATAAATACAATAATATCACTTTTTTTAGAAAAAGAATTTAATAATAATGTAAATTAATTTAATATTAAATTTTTTTTTTAAAAAAAAAAAATTATTAATTATTTTTAATTTATACTTTTAATTATCTTTAGAATAATAATAAATCTATATAAATAATAAAATAATTCTTTTAAGTAATTCAGATTTTTATATACTTGTTCTAAAAATAATTCAGATTATTTAGATTTTTCTTTTAAATAAAAAATAAAAATGATGATAATTCAAATATTAAATCTTTTTAGTTATATTATCAATAAGTTTAATAAAAATAATAATTAATAATTTTTTACTTATTCTAATATTATATTATAATTTATTTTAAAGTAATCTAAAGTTAAACTTATAAAATATATAAATTCTGAATCATTATTTAATTATAATACAAAAGTAAATTATTATAAAAGAAATTAAAAATTCATAGGAAGAATATTTTAGAATATCTAATTCATTAAAAGATTTATCAAAATTATATACAAATATAACTTATGTAATACATGAATTAAATGAATAGAAACAAAAATTTAAATATTGATTAACCTTATTTAGTTCTACAGATGTAGAAATATAAAATAATATATATTAAATATAGTAACTTTCAAATGTTATGCATCATCTTAATAGGTAAATTTTAAAATTTAATTATTTTGTATACATGTAATAAAAAAATAAAATTTATAATTCATTTAATTTATTATATCGTAACAATATAAAAAATAAATTTTTATTTTAATTTATTAATATAAACATTGAATAAATAATAAATTTAATCAAATTATTATATGTGTTCCTTTTGATCATTTCTAACACCCAATCTTAAATAAACAACTAGACAAAAAATTTAAATCTAAACTAGTAATTTTTTAATTTAAAGCTCACTATCTAGTATAATCACTTTTTGCATTAGTGTTTTAGGTAAAACTAGTTTCGTCAAATTGATCTGCAAAAATCTTTTCAAATTTAAGGTTTTAGAGGTTTTAGATAGTTTCAGATCATAGAAAAATTCTCTGAGCGAAACGTTTCAGATGTTGAAAAATAGTTTCGCCTGAAATACTATTTTGCATATATTACATCATTAATACATTGTGGTATACTTTCAATTAATTTGTTTAGAAACTCTATATCTATTTTAACTCAAAATTTCTGTATTATATTTCAATGTTGATCTTATATATGAATTCTTATAAAAGATCATTATATACGTCTATCAATTTCATTCTATAAATGTTTTATTAGATTTAAATCTAATGATTATAGTGGTTACTCAAGTACATCAATATTATTATTCTCAAATCACTGCCATGTTAGATTTGTAATATATTTAGAAATATTAGTTTACTGAAATATAATATCACTTTATCAACCTCATGTCATTTGATTATTTTTAAAAGATCATTCTTTAATATTTCTTAATATAATTCACTATTTATATTCCTATAAATTCTTACAATGTTACTAATCCTAAAAGAAGAAAGTATTTCTATACTATAATACACCCTCTACCAAATTTTATTGTAGAAATTACATACTTGTCAGTAAGGAGTTCATCAGGTTTTTTCTAATAATATTTACATCTGTTAAAACTAAATATCATAAATTTGGATTCATCAGACCAAATTATTTTGTTTCACTCTTAAACTTCTCAGTCTTTGTATTTTTAGTAAATTTTAAGCGTAATTGATGATGTTTTTTTTTAAATATTACTTTTTTCTCTTAATTCTTGAAGAAAACCATTTTTATATAATACATGCCTTACAGTATTTTCATTTATAGCAATTTTACTATTATTTTTTAGATTTTTTTTGAATATTTACAGCAGTAAAACACTCCTTAGATGAAAGCATTCTTATAATATTATGTTTATCTCTTCTTATAAAAGGTCTTGAATGACCTGACTTTGGTAAATCCTTTATAGAAACTGTGGCCTCCACCTTCTGCTTTATTCTAATAATAGTAGATTGAGTAACCTTCTCGTAGGAAGCAATGAAATAAGATGGAAATCCTTCTTGAATAAGTGAATGTATTCTATTTTTTTTTTCTAATAAATAAACATCCTATTTTTTTTGGAATTTAAATGAAATAAATAAAAAAGGAGGCTGAAAAAGCATTTTAAAAAATTTTTTTTCGCTAGTTTGTTCATAGTTTACCAAATTCCATATAGTAATTGATATGCAAGCAAACTATCAAAAGTAACGCATTGCCAATTTTTGGAAAAGATGAACAAAAAAATCTTAACAATACACGATCAAAATATTACCACACAATGAAAATAACCTTCCTATACTTATGCCGTTATATATCATGTGATTTAAAAAATATTGCTTTTTTTTCCCAAGTGATGCATAACATTTGGGAGCCACTGTATAATAAGTTCGATTAATTTATTATTAATTATATTTATTATTAATAGGAAGGATCTTCAAAAATTAATATAATAAAAATAAGGTAATTTTTATAATTTAATATATTTTTTAATATTATTTATAAATTTTTATATAATTCATTTTTAGAATTTAATTGAAATTGATTTAAATAATGAATCTAATAATGAACAAGAGGTAATTATTTATTGGATATCTGAAATTCGCATTGGGGCAAGCGAATATCCCAAACGATCTTTGTATTTGGGATTCTCCAAATGCGGACATAACACATTTGGGTACAACATATACAAACGTTTATTTAATGAATTGTTATAGATCAACAATAATAAATTTTATCAAAATAAAATAATGGTTTTATATATTTATTATTAACATTAATCACTGAAATCTATCATCACTGGTATGACTTTGTCACAATTTCAACCATATTACCCATATTACTATGGATGTTCTCGATTACAAATTAAAGAATTATAGAATTATATAATTTTATAGAAATAGAAACTATACAAGATATATTCCATATACAGTCCCTGACGAAAATAATGTCGATGTGAACGTCATATGTTAATAAATTTGTATTTAATATTTTTTTGATTTTTTTTGATTTTTAATGTATAATAATTAATGCAATTATATAATACGAACAGCGCAATCTAAACGAAAGCGAATAATTTTGAAATATTTAATCACCATCTGTCAATTATTTTTTCTATGGCTATTGTAATTCCGATTTTGGTTTATAAATTAATTTTTACTTCGTTAACTGTTAGATTTCAGCTTGTTTTTATTTTTCGTATGACTATATTTTTTAATGAATCTTTAATAAATACAGCAAATAAACTTGCATTTAAAAAAATTCACAGTCTTATTTGTACAAGATTATAATAAATAATATTATTAGCATGAAATTGCCTCTTAAATGAAATATATACTGTATTTAAAAAGAAATTATAAATCATAACAAAATAAGTCAATGGTTATTGTGCTGTTGAATCCAGTAAATATTAATAGAGAGATGATAATCTGCTAGGCATAAATTGTGACCAATTGACTTTATTAAGGGTACTTCGTCACCGCCTTTAACTTTTTTTTATTGTATCATATAGAAAGAGCAGGTAATTTTTTTTTTCAGTTCGTAGTTTGCAATCAGCTGACAAATGGACTTTGGTCACGTGTGAATAGATTTGCTGTGCTTAACAGCACGTTTTTGGACTAGCGAAGCTATTGTTCTCCAAGTTTGACAGCCCCAACATAAAATCAAAGTTAACCATATAAATCTAAATGTAAATTATCAGAAATATGTCGTACATTGTCTTACGAGTTTTAATTTCAGTAGAATAGGAAGTTTTCAGTGATAAGATTAAAAGAAAAAAATTTACATTCTTGTATGCGGAAGGAGTTGTGTTGATACGTCCTCATCCAACTTGGTAGAAACCGATATTCCGGATTGTTTTAATAAAAATTTTTTTTATAACTAATAATTTTGCTTTGAAGGCGAATAAAGATAAAATAAACTAAATTTATGTTTGCTAAAACATACTTGTTCTGAGTATGTTACAAGATATAATTAAAGGCGTAAAATGAAATGAGACTTTACTTTAAAAAAGAAAAAAAAAGGTTCATATAACGAATATTGAAAAGTGAGTAAAAAAAAAAAATTTTTAAAGAAATATTGCTTGAATTCATTCCAAATTCGGATCTTTCATTTCGGAACACCCTTTTTGTGCTTCCTCGGTTACTTCGGTTACTTTGGGTTTCATTTCGGAACACTCGATTACTTCGGTTACTTTGGTTACTTCATAATGATCGACATGTACGGCACTCCCGCTTTCTTGAAACTTCTTCCCCTCGTCGTACAAAGTTTTGGCATCCTTGGTTAGCTTAATGTATTCGTTCTTAACGATTTGTGATTCTTTTTTCCAAGCAGATTTTGCAATCTTAGAAAACATTTTCATGGGGGGTAATTTCATATGTTTACTGCGATACTCTCTATGCAACGCCATTCTGTATGCGATAAAAGAATTTGGGATGGTCACGTTGGCTTTCTTAGATTTAACAGCATTTGCTAGAAGTTCTTCTATCGTTATAACGGGAGGAAAGGGTAGGGTAAGGGGCTTAATGGAGGTGGAACGAGAATATCTAGGCATTTTATTTATTGATTGATTGATTGATTGATTGATTGATTTTTTTATTTTTGGGTAAAAGTGAGAATTTTTTGAGTTGTTTTGCACTTTCTACCCTACCTATTTATATTGTTCAAAAATTGAAACTATGTTATCATTCGAACGAAATGGTCATGCAAGAGAAGATTCTTTGAATGGATATATTTTGATGGCTAAAAAACTAATAATTTTTGAACGGGAGAAAAAAAAAGCGGTCACTTTGAATATTTTTCCTTTTTTTTTCTCTCCCGTAACCCTACAAAATATGGAATGATCTTGTAGAATATTATAATAACCCGTATTAACCTTTTTAACAAAATCATTTTAACAATAAGGCTGAATGATGTATGTAATATGCAAAACAAAGGGCTCGCATCGGACCTGTACTTGACCATAACCAAATTTTTAACAAATCAAAAATTTTCCGACAAAAACGTTTACGCAATTCACTTTTATTTTTAAAATTGATCCTACCAATTAACAGAATGCAGGGGTGACCTTTTATTTATTTTAATGCACGAGGAATATTAAATGAGGTATAAATAGTATTTAATCTAAACATTTATTATTCTATACCAGTAAAGTTGATGTGGCGACATATTATAAATTGAAATTCCAAAGATCCAATGAATCGGCTGATCTTAAATTTAAAAACTACATCTACAAAAGGAAATTTGTTGGTGCAATAAATTGGAATTCAATGAAGCAATTTTGAGATTATAATCCAAAAAGGAATTCATTTTGATCAAATGGGGATCTAACTCCCGAGTTTGACACCATCCTATCCTTAATTAGGTTGACCGTTTTTAAAACAATCTTTTATTGATACACCCAATTTTAATTTAAATTTAAAAACAGTTTGGTCTTAAAATTATATTACACAATCATTTGATTTATACCAAGTAAAAACGAGAAACCGAATTTTTAATTATATCGAAGTTCGTTTTTGACTATAATATCCTTGATAAAGGATTTATTCTATGGGGAGTTTACAAATGATATTGTAAAATATATTATTAGCAAAAGAACATTATATAGAACAAACACCAATTAATAATAATAAATTTTATATATTTTCAATCTTTTTAACAGGTCATGAGTTTGCGCACAACGAGGCAAATATTTATATCAGTCTTTTCTTTTTATAGAGACTTCCGAAGCTTTACCTTTTTAGAAACCACCTGACATTATTGAAATTCCGATCCTGAAAAAAAGGTCAAAATCCTGCCGATCTCCTTTGACCCTTTTACGCCAAACTTCTTTACAACACATTAAATAATAGTGATTTGATTAAAAAAAGGTTCAATTAATTTCTTTTTTGTTGTGTGGGCTTCGCTATTTTATTTATTGATAAAAAAAGAACTAAAAACGTAATCTTTAAACCGGTTCCATTTGATCGATAAAAAAAAAAAAATTTATAAATGACAAAAAGGTAAGATCAGTGTAACACTTTGACATATTGTACAATGGTAGTTAAATGTCTTATGACTCGATTGTAATCCATCTAATCAACTGATGATTGAATTCTAGGTATTTATTTGTTTATGATGGGGAAGGACCCAAGGTAAATTTCAAATTAATACTGGAATTTACAGCCACAATAAAGCAAGCAAAGCTTAGGTTCAATTAGCTACCGAGTTTCGTTAGCATCATATTTTTATTATAATTGTCAAAAAAAAAAAGTTTATGATTCTCATTATAATCTATACAAATGCGATGAGAAGACATGGTAACATGATTGGCAAGATCATCATTCCGTTTTTGGTTATCGTCACCCGTTGAAAAAATTATGGTAAATTTCCATCATGCAAATTTTTTATTTTGGAATGGGATCAAATGGGAACTTTTGGGATTTCCATTGAGCAGGATCATTAATATTTCCAGCTTCAATTGGAGTGATGGGTCCTGATCCAATGCCCACCAAATAATCAACGTACCTTCCCCATTTCCCTCTAAATTTGACCCAATTATTTATCACATTAGTTTTCTCATCAAATTGCCTATCGGTATCTTTATTAGGTTATCCGCGATAGGCCACTTTTGTCCCTTATGGGTATAATCTTCAAGAGAAATAATTTATTTCCAACATATTTTTGTGTTCCAATAGTACCATAATTTGCATGAGTATTAATCGCACTATAAACGATAGGACGTCCTTCTTCGAAATCTAATGGACCTATATCTGAACCATTAGATTTATAAATGGATGGGGCCCACCAACTTCCTTCCGTATGAGCGGACATCCAAACTCCCAACACCTGGGATTTCGGTTCATCATCCTTTGCATTTTCATCAACATAAACTCTTGCGGTGACTTGTTGCCAATCTCCTTCATGAAGGATTACACCTAAACTAGTTGGACCATTATAAGGATAAAATAACCAATATTCGATGTCATAAATCTTCTTATCAGCTTGTCCTGTGTGGATCCGATAATAAGCCGGTGGTGGTTTATTTGGTGGCGTATACCATGTTTTTGATCGATCTTCTTTAATCTTTCCATTACCAACTAATCGGAATAACGTATCTTCACCATCAGGATGTGTCGGAGAATTACTTCGATATGCCGGATAAGTCAATTGCGAAATTTAGGAGACTTGATTGGGAAAGTTGTGATGGAGCACCCGTTTTATTCCCGTTACTTGGGTCGATATAATAAACTCCGTCATCTGAATTGTCTTTACCAAATGCCATTATGGAATTATCGAGAAAAAATTCCACGTCACTTGGATAATATCTAAGATGAGACAATTATGTTCAGTTTTGAAAAAAAAAAAAAAAAAAGAAAGAAAGAAATTTTTCGTATTTTATTTTTTTTTTTAAAAAAAGAAAATATACAAACGGTTCTTTAGGATGCAAGAACACTACAGGTGCGAATCGATGACTAAAATGAATGTAATTAAAAATATTCAAAGTAAATTAAAATTCATTTTCGACAAATAGATTTATCGCGTCATTGATATTAACATACGCGATGTCATCGAGAACCTTCGAGTCAGTCGCAATATCATCAACCTTCGAGCCGAACGCTTTATAAATCAAAATAGTAAGAATTGACAAATGAATGGAAAACAAGAGCGAAAATTTTTTAAATTATCATCTCTTTAATTTGTATTATTATTATTATTAGGTGTAAAAATTTATGAGAACCAAAAAGTGCGAGACAGTTTTGCCGAAAAATTCGATTTTTTCTTTATCGTCATATTATTTATATTGTTTATATTTTCTAATCCAATATATATTAGGAAATATATTATAAATGACCCAAAATTAGTAATGCTAAACATTCAACCCTTTTATTATAAATTTTCTAATATCGAAAAATGAAGTTCATATTTGAAACTTAATTCGAATATAATTCGAAACACCCGCGATTCGAACATTAGAAAAATTTACTATAAACCGAATATATTGAAATGGGTGATCAATGAATTAATTGTTTTGTTCCTTGAACTATGATAAATAAAGTTTATTTTACTAGAAAATACAATAAAATTTATTATTACAACACTTCTCAAAATTATCATTTCCATCTTAAGAAATTTTATTCAGATAAAAATGCCGTTTTTAACTAAGTAGTTGTCAAGTTTTATAATATGTGATTTTTGTATTTTTCTATTTACAATTCTTTCTTTTTATTAAATTTAATGTTTGACATACATACCGTTGGATTAACTACATTATTTGATGGATGATGTTAACATGACAAAAAAAGAAAAGCTTTAAAGTCGTAATTGTGGTCCATTTCATAGAAATCAAATTTGCGACGTGCCGAACTACAAACATCATACCGACAAAATGACTCGTTAATTCATATATCCCACAGATATTCCAAGCTAGTTGAAAACAATTTGTGAATATGTTTAAGTAAAGTCCTGATGAATACAGTAAAAAACAAGTTGTTTGTGCATATAAAGAAATAAATGCCCGTGTTACATATTGCTATGATCTTCTATCAATACGTCACAAGTTGAATTTAAATTTCGATGTTATTTAAATATCATAACATTCATAACATATTTCAAACTATAAAATGACATTTTTGTCTTTTGAATAAAAAAAGCTTTTCTACCTTTCAGCTTTTAAATTATTTATATCAAATAATCTTACTTAAAGCACCGATTCCGAAAACTTATCTTACTTAAGGCAGGACAAATAAATTAAATTGTTAAATGTTCCGCACTAAGGTTGCCTGGTAAGACCCTAAGTTTTGACGTTTTGCCAAAAATTATTTAAAAGACAAAACCGTAAAAGTTTCAACGGGTGGCTAAACTCATCAAAACCTATAGCAAAATGAGATTTTTCAATTATCCCTCAACATAGAATTCCTTTTCAGGTACATTTTAATATAACCTTTTGAAAATCCTGATTGTTGCCGTTCTCAAGCTCTCCCTTCAATGCGATTTGATAGTGATGGCATTAGTGCTCAAGTATCATAATCAATGACGAAATCAAAAGAATCGTATTGATTTTTTTATAGTCTAGTAACGGATTAGTCTAGTAACGGATTTTTTGTGAGGTTAATATTTTTTTATATTGAAGGGATGGGAGACCGATTCTAAATTCAGCTTATTCTGGGTTACAACCAATTTTTTAAAAATCGACCCGAACTGGCTCAAAATCGTCAGCCTGTTCATTCACTTCTCGGATTTTGAATAGGCCGAAGAGTTTGTGTGACCTGATCATCGTTTTTTTAACCGTAAAAAACGCGAAAATTTTTTTTTTAGAGTTTTTTTTTAAAAAAAAACTTAATAAAATGGCTTTAGAACTTCAAAATAAATATGGACCTCAAAATAAAAATAACACGCGTTCAACACAATTAAACTTTAAAATAATTAACGAACAAAAATCATTCATCTTCTTCAGCTTCTAAAAAAATGACGTTAATAGATTTTCAATATTTTTCGGTATGTCATTTTATGATCAAAGACTCGATTTTAATTTGATGACGTTTTAGATTAATGGATTTTGCGATCAAAAATCCGAACGATCAGGCCTTCTTGGAATTCAGATACCCTTTTTGTTATCTGTATTTCAATTTCAAATTCTGTATAACTATTTTAATTTTAATTTCAGATACGAGGCCATTATTTTAATTAATAAAATTTTTATGATTTTTTAACTGTTTATTTATTTATTTTTCTTGACTACTCTATTAAAATGAAAAAAATTACGATTCCTTTTCTCTATAATTACAAATTTGAAAATATTTATAAAAAGTTAAGTAAATTTATTTTAAAGTTCGTCTCATCTTCAAAACAGAATAATTATACAGGTAGCTCGTAAAGATATGAGTTCATTTTCTATTGCTACCTGCTGTTATAAAAGAAATAATAAGAAAAAAAAAGTGATTGTATTTGACAAGATTCTAATTGAATGATTATTTTTTGCCTTTTCAGTTGGATCACTTCGGTCCGAAATTTAAAATGCAAAACCTGAAAAATATGATGAAAACGAAAATGAATAAAATCACTTATTTAATTAACACAGTACCCGATGCGATCGAAAAACCTGCATGAAAAATAAAATAGAAATAAAATAAAACTGAAAAAAATAAACTTAAAAAATAAACTTAAAAAAAAAGAACTTACTTATTTGTTGAAAAAACCTGAAAGAAAATAAAATCAAAATTAATAAAGTTTAAAAGAAATAGAAAAAAAATTAAAAAAATAATAAAAAATGAAACTTATATTCAATTGATTCAACAATGAAAAATTATAAAATTAAATAAAAAAAAAAGCTTTACTTATGTTAAAATTTTAAAATAGAAAATAAAAAAAATCGAAAGAAAAGAAAGAAAAAGAAAAACCTACATTAAGCAGTAGCCTAAATGCGATCAAAAAGCCCTAAAGAAAAATAAAGAAAAAAAATAAGAAAAATAACATCTTTATAAAAAAAAGAAAAAATCGAAAATTAAAGAAATAATATAATAAATATTGGAAATAAATTATAATTCAGCATTTACGAATTGTAACAAAATAAAATTAGCATATTGCAAAAAGGGTGCTGAAAATCTCGCCATCAAAATCCTCAGGCATGTGATTATAATAAAATATTTGTCAACTATGTAAATCAAACAATTTAATATTAGAGATTTTCCGTATTAAACTATAATTTAAAATAGTTTAAATTTGCTTATAATAAATTTCCTATTAAAAACAATGCATATTTAAACCAATTTCTTTGACTTATTAATTTTTTCCAAATTTGCGAAAATATTCTAAATAATCGTCTCTTTCATGCAACTAGCTGCTTTTTTTTTAAAAAAGCTATTTATATTTCAAACATAACAAAATAACTATTTCTGAACAATTCCTCTATAGGAAAAGTTTCGCTTTTTTAAACTTTTTCAAAAACAAGTATCACATTGTTCCTAAGGTCGCTATATTCATTTGAACTTTATTACTACATAAAAGCTACTAAAAGTATATGAAATTGAATTTTACAGATTTCGGATTATTTAATAGGAAGAATTTCAAGCTGTGCCCGTCAATTAAAAAAAGCTTGTGAATTACAAACTCAAAAATTAGAGCAAATAAAAATGACAAAAAACAAAAAATTAATGAAATTTTAAATAGATGGACGAACTAAACCTAAACAATGCTTTCTATTGACTCTAATTCTTCGAAAATATTAACAAATCCAGTATTAAAACGGTCCAGGAGCAAAGAAAAAATCAACTATTGTGTGACTTAAATATGAAGAATAATATAATTCTAGATGATGCAGAAAGAGTTAGAAAAGCAGATCAATTATTTGAAATTTATTTTTCTAAAAAAAAAAAATAATAATATAATTGTCTTTATTAATGTATAAACTCTGTAATTGGTTAAAAGTCAAAAAACTTCGAATTTGTATTGCAATTTTTAAAATACCTGGCAAAAAAATCCAATTGATCCATTTAACCGGTATAACCGGCAAAAAAATCTCTAATAGTAAATTTTTATATGATACTTAACAATGTTTTGATTTACATAGTTGATGGAACACCCCAGTATCAAACAGACGAAAATTACCGTCCGTTAGGGTGTGCGGTTAACTATGTAGATCAAAGCTGCGTTAAAAACGAGTGCAACTGGGTGTTCAAACCGGTTTAATACTAATAAGATTTATGCTAATTATCGAAGGTTCACTACCATTCCAATATGCATGTTTATTTCCTCAATCTCGTGTCTTATTTTCCTCCTTTACCAATATAAACGAATAACCAAAAAAAAAAATCGAATTATCTTCAACAATATATATTTAGATTTTTTATTTTTTAACCTTTTTTCCTTTTTACGTTTGCTATGATTTCTTTTTAACTGATATTATTTCTTATATTCAACACAGTTAAGAGCTCATTAAAACATTATATCATCTATTAATGAAAACTAAGTCTTTAGTTCTATAGGATTTAGCAAAAAATTGTGTTCATCGTTAAAAAGTATTCTTAGTTTTACTTACTTTACTAAAAGATTGGTCTCGAAAATTATTAAATTATCTTCTTTGTAATTTTTTTTTTTCGCTTTTGAATCTTTTCAGTTGGTTCACATATATACTTTATATTCAGTTAAGATTTTCTTTTTTCATTCTCCTTTTCTTTAAAGTAATAAAAAATATATATATATTTTTTTCATTTCTTTTGTTTTTTTTTTTCGAAAATGTGTAATTATGTGATGGTAGATCCAAAAAAAAATAATCTTTAAAAGATT